CTAGTTTTCACATTAAGCTTTGTGGTTTTTCCAGAAATTGGCCTCTTCTGACCAATGACAGTCTCAGCCTCACCAAGATGTGGATCACAGTGGATGAGAATGAAGTGCCTGACTGGAGGATGCAGTCAGATGCAAGCTCAGAGGAGGGTCCTTCCCTAAACGAACCCTGCACCTTCCTAAAAGCTCTTAGGCACAGCTTTTAATTTGAGGTGCTGCTCAGGGAGGGAGCTGAGGCCAGCCGCCAGGAGCACAGCATGGAAGACAGGCACAACAAGCAGGCTGGTTACTCTCAGATGCTATCACTGCTTCTGGAAGCCACTTCTGGATTCCACAGCAGCTTCAGCATCCTCAAGGCTCTTGTGAAGGGCACCCCAAAGTGCCTTGCACATCGGGTGTTCTGGGCCTGCAGGGCATGGCAGGCAGGGGACAGGTTAGGTAAGGTGGTTCAGAGCGACAGGGGCATGGAAAGTTAGGAGCTGAAGCTGACATTGGTGTTTATGAGCAATGAGGGGGGCAGAGTGAAGAGAGGCTGGAATTGGAAACAAGTCCCTGACTCTGTCATGGTCACTAGAGAAGAGGGGGGATGCCCTCCATGCCCAGAAGAACAGGCTGGTAGACCCCACATGAGGTTGAGTCTGCTCTGGAGATGCAGCCCCGGAGCCACCCAGGTACGGCACATTCAAAAGCTGTGGTAGCTGATCTGTGGAAAACATCCACCAAAATGTCTCCCAGCTCTGGGGAGGCAGACAGTTTTTTAAATAGAGTATTTAACTTGGAAAAATTTAAGTTTTGAATGATTTTTTAACAAGGAGCACAAACAGGCTATATAAGTTATCTTAAACGCCAATCCAGCACTTTCCACAAGCCAAGCACGGTCCTAAGGGCTTTATAACTATTAACTCATTTAAGTCCCAGGACTAAGACACCATGAGGTAGGCCGGCGCAGGTACTGACCCTACAGGAGGGGGTTTACATAGGGGTCTGGGCACACCATTGCCATGGGGACACAAACAGTAGCAGTCCCAAAGAAAGATGCTTACAATAAACTCAACACCCCTCCACTGTTCCTTCATAATTGATTATTGACTGACATGAAGAACCAATCAAATTAATCTCAGGTTTAAGAGATATCCAAAATGAGCTCCACCGAGCTTTTAAAACACTAATAGAGCCAAAACAAACAGCACTGAGACTTCAAGTGGAAGGTGCCAATTAAGAAAAGTGACTCAAATTCCTAGAAATGCAAGCCCCTTATAATTTCACTATAAAAACCTATAAAGCTGACTGACACCTTGGACAGTTGGAGCCTACTGACGGTGTGGGAACGTTTCCCTCCCATCACCCCAAATTAGCCCATCATGGCGGATCCGGCTGCCGTCAGCATCATGCCAGCAAGAGGAATTTAAGGAGAAACCACAATGACCCCAAGCCTCTGTAATTTACAGAGCGCCAGAGTCCACGGGGCGTAATGCAGCATGCCGCTTTGCCAAAAACAACCTATAGGATTTCTTCCGGATGAGAAAATTAAAATGGCTTAAATTTGCATTGCTTTTCCTCTCCAGTGACCCGTCTGGACTCTGAGCCTGGGAGCTCTTGTCCCGCAGGGGCAACAAGCGTCAAATGTGCACATCCTCCCTCCGGGGCGCAGGGTGAGTCGGCGTCTGCACAGCTGCTTCCCAAGAGGTGGTCCAAGCAGGTCCAGGAGACAGCACGCGGGAGGCTGTGCTCGCCCATTCCCAGCTCCAAAGCCACAAGGCTCCTCGTAAGGAAAGAGGTTCCCCCACTGATAGGGAAACCAGGAACCAAGACCAAAACCTCAGGAGCTGCGCCTGCCTCTCGCACTCCGGAATTAAGAACCAGCATGGACCTGGTTTTTCCCTCCTGTTCCATCTGTGGATTGGATCCCTAGGGAAACTGTACTGCGTTCAAAAGTAAAGAAATACTGTGCTTTTCCTTCCAATAATCTTTTTTTTTTTCAACCTTTATGATTCTCATTATTTCCGACTTGCCGAGTTAGCAAAAAAAGAAGCTTAAATGGTCATGCTCGGTGCTGGCAACATTGCTGGCAGGAGTAGAAATTGATCAAACCAGTGCCAAATTCCTGCACTATTATTACTATGGCTAATATCACATCCCCATATATATTGTATACATGTAAACATATATGATCTGTAACTATGTATGAGACTACAGAGCACGTCACAGTCTCAAAGTCTCTCCCCGGAGATATGTGCTAATCTCAGGCTGAGAACCTACTGACTTCACATATGGAAATCTACACTTAAATAGCTTTGAATACAGAGACACTCATATTCCAAGAAATATGGCTTTATTTTTAATGCATAAAACATGTAACACTGTTCAGAATAAGGAATAATGGAAGCGACTTAAAATAGAACAAAGGAAAAATGCTTAAAACCACTATTATGCATTAACTTTAAATGATGTCTCCAACAAATATCTGGGACAAAGGAAAGGATTCCATTACTATGACTCCACTCAACCCATCACTTGCTCGTTTTAAAAACAGACAAAACTAAGTGTTCCCCACACAGGCTGTCTTTTGAATGTAGACATTCCAATCGCTGCATATAGAAGAGATATGGAACAAAGCCAACTTAATCAAAAACCACAGTAATTATTGCGGTTGTTAAAATCAATGGACACAAAGGCATGACCAGAAACAGGGTAATTCCATAGTCTCAAAGTATCTCCCTGGAGATAGGTACTAATCCAAAAGGGAAAAATAAAAACCGTCCAGCAGAGAAACCTGGCAGACACCACCCGAATGAAGTGATCAGGCTAACTTCTCCAGCAGAGGGACGTGGGGACACCATGCACCTCCCGAGACAAAGCATCATCGCTTCTGCTGTCTTCCTGCAAAGAACACATCACCTGAATTTCCCCAGAAGGAAACACAGGAACCCCAAGGGAGGGACAATCTGCAAAAGGACTGGCTAGTGTCTGCAAAAGTGTCACGGTCAGGAGAAGCAGGGCAATTCTGAGGAGCTATCACACATTAGAAAAGAAGGAAATAAATGAAATGTGGGATCATGGATTGGATCCCAGACCAAAAACAGGCATTAGTGAGAAAACTGGCAAGATTCAAATCCAGTCTGTGGTTCAGTTAACACTATCACACCAGTGTTAATCTCCTACTTTTGACAGATGTGACATTTTGATGTATAATGTGCACACAGGGGAAAGCTGGATGAAGAGGCAGGGAACTGTACTATTTTTATAACCTCCCCATACATCTAGAAATATTTCAGAGTAAAGAGGTGTGTGTTTCTGTATGGGAATTCTTCTGCCAGATGTACTTTCTTCTTAAGTCAAAGCAAAAATCCCTGTATTTTAAAGAATGTGGTAGATAAATATTTCACAACAAAATTATTTCATCCATTAAACATGCAATAGATGAAAACTTAGGATCTTTTTGATTTATCAGTTATAACTGTATTCCTCAAGCAATTTTTAAATGTAATATTTCTTTAATATTCTGTTTCTCATATTGTATTAGTAATTAGATCTTTCATTTAATTTTATCTTGAGATCATAAATATGGGCAGACCAGCAAAGAGTATAAATGGTACATCTTTTAAAAAGAAAAACTGACAATATTTATTAAAATTTAAAATGACTACAAAAATCTGTCATATGACAACATCTGACATAAAGCCTTCAAGCACTGATAACAAGGATCCACACTTGATACTCAGGCCAAGCAGATTTTTACTTTTTGGAATGAATCACATTGAAAAGTTTAGTCTCTTCTCTCTACAAAAAAAGGTCCGGCATCAGCGAAAATGGTGTGGGATTCTACGGTGCACCAGCTGGGAGAATTCACTGGGACTTTTCAGCTGCCTTCTCCAGACTTAGCTGAGAAAGCTGACCACAGAGAGGACAGAACTCCCAGCAGCTGCCCGAAGACCCACCATTAATTAAAAATGAGACATCAACTGAGGCAGCCAATAATGGACTTCGACAATGGAAGGCGAGAAATAAAATTGTCCACAGAAGGCTCTAGAAGGCAGTGAGGGTGAGGGATTCCACCCAGAATCCTGTGTTAGGCACTTCTTGTTCTATAGGAAATCCCCCAGAGGCATGAGCTGCTTCCCATGGACAACTTAAAAGCCCAGGTGGAGTTCTCTCCCAAACTATCTGAAATCTCCGTTTCAGCCAGTCTATGCTTTCACCAGTCTTCAAAGTTTAAGAAATCTGATTTGCACAAAACTTTCACTTATGAGGTGCCTCGAACAGCCACAGAGAGAGAGGTAAGATGATGGGTACCAGCGGGGGGAGGGGGTGTGGGGGGGGGGGGGGGGGCAGTTTGTGTTTAGTGGGTAGAGTCTCAGTTTAAGAAGATGAAGAGATCTGAGGATGGACAGTGGGGATGGAGACATAACAATGTGAATATGCTTAATGCCAGTGAACCATGCACTTAAAAATGGTTAAAATTGTAAGTTTATTTATATATGTAACCAGAACTTTTTAAACGTTAAGAAACGAAAGCTTTCACAAAGTAAGACTACACATGCTCTCTGGAGGGCTCCTAGCCAGAACTCTGTACACCTACCCAGAACAACTCAGGCTGGGGCTCACCAGTCGGCCAGAAGTGTGACCGGCCTCCAGCCAGAGGCCTACCTGCCTGTCTGCCAGGCGGTGCCACACGGGCAGGGCAGGCCTCTTCCCCAGCCAGGCCCAGGAAGAAGGGAAGCTACACACAGAGCCAAATCAATTTCAAGTTTATAAGCTAAGAACTAAAGGCACAAACTAGCGCATTCCAGCTCATTAGGTCAGCTTCTAGTGGATATTTTTATTCTTCCTACCAGATATAACTCGACAATATCCCAAATGTATCTGTAGACAGCTGAAGCCCGCATGAGGAAGCCCAGCAGCTTCTGGGCTGTGTGTGAAGTCTCATCTTGACAACAACTGCCGCCACTCGGGATCGACCAGAAGGACAGCAAGCTGATTCTGTCCTAGGAGCTCGTGCTCACCTGATCAAATCCTGGAAATGCGTCTTCTTGGCCACTAATCGTTTTGGCACCTGGAATCCCTCCATGGTCTTGCCTGGGGTCAGTAATTCCAAGATGAGATGAGAAACACAAAGTTATGAATAGTCTCAGATGGATTTCAAGTCCTGTTAGCTTACTCTGTTCGGGGGAAATTGCTGTTAGTGAATTCTTGAATCTGGCCAAGCATTTCCCAAGTGCAGTGCCCTGCTCGTGAACCTCGGATCAGCAGCCATCCTACCCAGCCCCGCCCCCTCCCCAGAGCTTCACTGGTCACCACCCTCCTGCAGAGTAACCCTGAACTACCCGCCGCCTTCTCCCAAGAAACACACGAAGGGGGAAGAAAACCGCGAGTGGTGGCAGAAAGACCCTCTCCGACCTTTAGAACAAACAGACTTCTCGTGCCCAGGGTTCTTCCTCTAACTCAAAGTGTTCGCTGCCTCCGAGTCTGTGGTAACAGAAAAACCCATGGGACCCTGTGCTCTCCCATAAACCTTTCGCTTCACTCCTTCCCAGAGGCCCCAAAATTAATCCCACATGTTTACTCAAGTGTTCTTATCTGCTCTATCACCAGCCATTGCAGTCGATGGTCATTAATTTCCTGACCCTTCTGCCTCCTTCATTGCTCCCTTAAACAGTGTAACAGCCACACTTTGGTCTGGCACGGATTCCACACTCCCTCCTCCGCCGGAATCCGTGCTGTCTCCCACGCTGGCACGTCCCCCCCCCACCACCACCACCACCGCTGCTCTGCAGGGTTCTTCGTCCTAGGCTCTTCGGCCACTACTATCAAAATCAGCTCAGGAGGAAGAATCCAAGACTCAGATACTTGGGGAAAGTACCTGAAGAGAAACTGACAGGAAGGAGGTTTCTAGCAGACATTTAATTAATGTCACTGAAAAAGGCACGGAGGCTTGATCTGGGGACACTGCTCATCATGCAGCACACGGCGGGGAGATCCATGCCCTTGCCGTTGGCGGCGCCAGTGGGCAGCACCTCTGGACCTTCCAGAGCCCTCCGTGTGCCGAGAGACATGAGCAGCACGGAGAAGCCGCGCAGGGGGACCCAGGCCGCGGCATCCGCCGCCCCTCCCGACCTTCCCATGGAGGCACAGGGCCCGCTCACTGCTGCTTCTCAGGCCAGGCCCACTGCCACCTCCAGGGCACAGAAAATGCACAGGCGTCATTCCAAAGGGCCAGACCCTGGGTCCCTCAGACACAGGGTCCTCCAGAGACAACCAGTGACAACTGCTGGCGAGGGTGTGTGGAAACCGGAGCCCTCACACACTGTGGTGGGAGGGGTACACGGTGCAGCCTCCACGGATATAGGCTGGAAGGTTCCTCCAAACGGTTTAGTTACCACATGACACCCAATTCCACTCCTAGGCAGACACCCCAAAGACCTGAAAACGTAGGTCCTACAGCCGCTGGTACACCCTGCTCACCGCTGCACCATTCGTGAGGGCCGGACAGTGGAACAAGTCACGTGCCCACCCATGGATGAAAACAGAAACCAAATGCGGTACCTCACTGCAACGGACGGAACAAGAAGGGAAGGAGGCACACGGTGGACGTCACCAGGCGCACGCACCGTTTGCAGGAGGCGAGCGGCACATTCCGCCTCTGTGGCCTTCATTCCCAGCCAACCGGAGACAAACACCAGACCACCTCACTACTGGCATGGTCATCAAAACAAAGTCTGAGAACCTGTCATGGCCCAGAGGAACTTAAGGAAACGTGACGACTAATGTGATTAGGTCCTGGAATGCAACAGGTCATTAGGCAAAAACTCAGGACAAATGAATAAAGGATGGACTTCGGTGTGATTCATTTTGAGAAATGTGCTATACTAATGTCCATGTTAATAACTGGGGAAACAGAGAGTATGGTATAGGAACTCTCTGTACCATCTTTGTACCTTTTGTGTGAATTTAAAATAATCTAAATTATTTTCTTTGTACTTTTTGTGTGATTCCACTAAGAAGTATCTGGAACAGATAATCCGTGGAGACAGAAAGTAGACAGTCAGTGCCGGGAGGGAGGTGCAGGGTTTCTCTGGCGGGTAACGAGCACATCCTGAAACTGACTGTGGCAATGGCTGCCCAGCACTGGGAATGTATGAAAAATCATTGAATTGTAACTCTAAGATGGTGAATCTTGGAGCATATGAATCACATAAAGTGACTATTATTGAAAAGAAAGGAATCTAAGAGAAGGTTGAATCGTACAACATTGCTGCCATTCAACCATTTTTTATAATAGACTTTATTTTTTAGAGCAAGTATACAGAAAAATAGAGCAGAAAGTACAGATTTCCAGGGCCCCCTTCCCACTGCACCCTGTCACCTACTGCTCCCATTAGTGGTGATGCATTTGTTACACAGATGAACCGATATGGACAGACTTGTTAACTGAAGCCCACTGTTAGTTACATCCAGGGTCCCTCTCTGGGCTATTATAAAGCTCCATGAGTCTTAACTGATGCATAAATCATGTACCTGCCGTTACACTGCCCTAAAAATCCCCGGTGCTCCACCTGTTCATCCCTCGCCACCAGATCCTGGCAACCACCGATCTTTCTGTTGCCACAGATCCGCCCCTTCTGGGATGTCATGCAGTCGGGATGAACAGCCTGTAGCTTTCTCAGGTTGGTTTCTTTCACTCAACAGTCAATCATTTTTGACTTACCAAGGCAGCAATTTCATACTGTTCATTCCACCTAACAGAATTATGCCTTCAGGTACATACAAAATAAAACACATGTGTACAGCGTGCATATACACGTGGCTAGTGTGGAGCAGCCCGGGGCATGTGGGGTGTTCAGGAGAGCACCTGGACAGGTAAACAGAAGCCCCTCCCACTCAAACCTCTCTGCTTGGGCTCACCGGTGGCACCTGGTCCCAGCACAGAGCTCACTGCTCAGGCTGCTTTGTAACTAGAAAGTTCCCCATTGCGTCAAACTGAAATCCATGTCCCCATAGCCCACATGCAGCAATCCTACTGTCCCCTCCTGCCACTCCCCTAGGAAGCCAAATCGCACAAGGCCACAGCACCATGGGGCCCCTGAAGCCCCGCGGGACTTCAGGGATCCCAGGGCAGCCTGTAAGTCTCCTTCAGCTCTTCTCCACACCTGGGGTTCCTGATGCAAACACTTTTAGGGTGGAGGGAAAATCTTACTAGCCTTCAGGAGGTCTTTTAAGACAAATGTTTCAAAGCAGGAATGTATGCGTTTGCCATTTCTGTAGGCTGAGATGGCCAAAGACAGGCTATCTTATATGGAGCAAACTCATCTCTTCTTCAAGCAGACGCAAGGGAGGGTCTGTCCTGCAACTGACAGCAGTGCAGGCGGCACGATTCTGTGACTATCCCAAAAACCATGAATTTGGACGCTTTGAAAGCAAGACTTCATATTTGGGCACCAATTTCAGTGACTTTGTTAAAGTAAAAAGAGCAGGAAGTACTTGCCAATGTTCCATGCACAAAGTTGTGTGGTCAGATCTAAGAAGCTTGCTTCTATCTCCCAAAAATTTCTTTCGTTCCAGGTGACTAGAGTTGAAAAACAAACTATGGCAGAATTAGCCATCAGCACCCCCCAGCCCTCGTCTGGCCCATGGCGGTGTGTCATGGCCACCCCCAGATCTCTCCTGGTTCCCCCCTCACAGCAACCTCTCCCTGCAGTCCACATCCCCTGAGACTATCTTGCAGGCCCTCCTCTGTCATAGTCGCTACTGACGATTTTACATTTTTAAGATATGGAGCCTAGCTTCCCAGATACACTGGAAAATCTCTAAGGATAAACAGGACATCAAAAACGAACTTCCTGTCACCCAGGGCAACACTTTGCTCTTAAATGGGCACTCTGGAAGTGATACTGATAACTGGCGTTTTTATATATGATTCCTTTGCTTTTAAACAGTTGATTTCTCAGGCAACCAGAATTTCTCAGCCCCACTTCATACCATGATGGGCTCTGGATTCCTCCATGAGCCTACTTTCCTTGACTCCATTCTTTCTTTAAGTACCAAATTGATCCAGTATAAATTCATATTAAAGCTCAAGGCCAGCTCATAAAAAAATGGCTCAATAGAACCCACAGGCACCACACTGTCTCTGCACAGAGGACCATCTGAGCAGCTAACATGATTCATGACCTTCCAAATATTATTCCTCCACCTCCACCTTACCCCAGTATTGATGTTTTCAGAGATCTCAGAGGATCATTTCACGTGTTAACTGCCTCATTTAATTTTTTTCTTACCAAATGTGTGCCTGGGTTCCTACAGTAGCAACTTAGTTAAGGCTCTGGAGGAACTTGTTCCCTTTGACAGTTGGCAACATTAATCCTTATTTCAGCTGCTTCCACTCGCCCACTGAAGTTCTCCACCTGCCAGCGGAGAGGGGAGGCCTACGGCTTAATCTAAGCCCCTGACCTCGGTTCTGCTTCCTATGACCTCACCAAGAGGGGAAGGTAAAGTGGACTTCAAATAAAAACATTATGCAGATTCAGAGTTTTTAACCAATCAAGTATGGCAAATCTTTTAGTTGGGTAAATAGACTTCCTCCCGGTTTTCTTAAAAAATGTATTTATGGCAAAAGTGAAGAGAATTGGGACAGCAGTGGCTCACAGGGGCTGGGGAATGCCAAGCCCACATCGGGCAGGGAGAGGACAGTTCAGGCCTCTGCCTCCCTGTCTGCACCTCAAGCCTGTGTCACCAGGTTCTTCACCTACCACCTCAAGGGGATGGCAAGGCCAAAACCAATAATAAACAGACAGCCCGAGGAAAACTGGATAGAAGACATGCACAGACATTTCTCCAAAGAAGGCTGGCCAGCCAACTGCCAAGTGTGCATGGAAAGGGCTCAACGTCACTCTTCAGAAGGGAAGCCAGAAGAAGGCGGACAGTGATGGCCACTTCAGCCCACAGCAGGCCCCTGTCCAAAGGCAGGCCTGGAGCAGGCTCCTGGCACGCGCTGCTCGACACGGTGGCACAGCGGCCCGCGGATGCAGCCAGGCGCCTCAGAGACGAGAGCCAGCACCTTCCCGGGTGCAGACAGCTGCAGGCGCTCCCAGGGTGCCCGCACCCCTGCTCTCCTGCCCACCTCTGCAACCCGGAGGAGCGGCTTCAGCGGTAACTGTTTGGTGTCCTACTAAACGCTGTATGTCAAATGGACTTGGAAAGTGTTTGCTCTCACAGTCAGATGGGAACCATTCTCGAACCTGTCCACTCCCTGGTGGCTGTTAGCATTTCCTCTCCGCCAAGCTCCACCATCCAGGCGGGTGGCTGGGCCACATGGCCTTCCCGTTCTCCTGGCCGGGCAGCGCCATGGTCCCACCCCCAGGGCACGGCGCTGCCCACCTGGCGGGCCAGGTCCACTGAGCACATCCAGCAGGGACACCTCCACCTACCCCAAGCCAGATCTTTACACAGAGAAAGGAAACCACTTGTTGAATATACCAACAAATTAGCAGCTTAGGCAACCAGCAGGTGCTCAATAACTGCTCAGACTGGTGCAATGATGGGGACAGGTGGACATGATACAGACCTGTGTGGGGCACTGTCCGCTACAGTCCAGCCACATGTGGCTGCTGGACACGGAGCCTGGCTACTGCCATGGCAGAACTCACTTCCCACTGCAGGCCACCCTCTGGCCTGTAACTTGCCACTGAAACCTGTCTTGGCCACACCACTGCCCACTCAGCCTCTCCAGCTGTCCCCCAGCCACAACCTGCTGCCCACGGGCACTGTACACACGTGGTTTGGAGTCCCTGGCTGGCAGGGGCCCTCTGGGTGGAGGCTTTGGTCCTCCGTGGTGGGTGCTTACCAGCCCCCTGCCTTTCTTCTTTGCCTGTAACACGAGGAGGAATCCTGTGGTCAGGCTGGGAAGTGCCCTGTCCCTGCGATGGAGAGGGAGAAACAAGGACAAAGCCAAAGGAAGGGGACATCAGGTATTAATTCCTTGGCCCTTGGTGACACCCTTCAGGCCCTGCCAGCCTTCTCCTGTCCCAGGCCCACTTCAGGAACACAACAGGTGGATCTCAAACTTCCACACACTTGAACTCCTGGGACACACGGATTGCTGAGCCCAAGTCAAAGTTTCTGATTCAGGAGGTTCTGGGGCTGCACCAAGAACTTGCACTCCTACCACATTCCCTCCCAGGGGCCGCTGGCACTGCTGGTCCAGGAACCACATTGAGACCATCACTGGTTCTCACTTTCTAGAAAATGCCACCTTCATAGCACCAAGCATCTATCTGTTCACCCTGTAGATGAACAACACAGCTGTCAGGAATGCACTTCCCAAGTTACAGCCTTTGCCCACTGCACCAAGTGACCTCAGCCCCTCCCAGGTGAGCTCTGTCCTCACCCAGTGCATGGGGGTCCCCCAGCCAGGCCCCCAGCCATGTTCTCAGCCTCCAGTCTGTATCTGTGTGTGTACACACATGCCTGTGTGCCTGTGTGCATGCACACAATGACGCCTGTATCTGCACACATGCACATGCGCCTGTGTGCATACATATGCGCCTGT